CATTTTTTCTGCAGTGTTTTTCTTTTTTTAAAACAGTTTTTTTTTTTTTTTGGCTCCAGTGGCCTTTATCTGACATTGAAATCGTACAAAAGTTGGTTATGACTGAGGGGGAAGACATGCGGCAAAGGTCAACAGGCTGCGACTCAAACCGGCACAACAACAACAACAACACCCTTTTTAGTTTTTCAGAAAATAAATTTGACTTTGAAAAAAAAACATTTATTCATGTTTGTAGTACTCTAAAGTTTGTCCAGAAGCTCAAATTGTCCCTGTTGTGTTTTGACACTTTGGTCAAATTATTATGGACATATTTTGACGTCATGCTTTTTATTGTTTTTGTTCAAGATCACAATTGGGATCCACACCGGGGAGGTGGTGACAGGTGTGATTGGCCAGAGGATGCCCAGATATTGCCTTTTTGGAAATACGGTCAACCTTACAAGTCGAACTGAGACGACGGGAGACAAAGGAAAAATTAATGTCTCAGAATACACTTACAGGTGAGGTTTGGTAATCCTCTGTTGTTTATCTGTAGAAAACCAGCCATCTTTCAGAGCCCTACAAAACAAGCTTGAATTTTAGTAGTAGAAACAGAAAAACGTGAAATCAAATATTTAAATCTACTTTATGTCTAACCGATGATAACTTAATGACTGATAATAACTTAGTTTGCTGTAACATCACACATTTCTTTATAAACTTTTCGTTAATACATTCATCTAGTTTTAACTCTACCTATGTGGGGGAATTATCCTTTAAGCTGCACACAGATTATAATAATTTTATGTTGGCTATAACAGACCAAGGTAAAACAGGAGCCAGAGATAAACATGGCGTTGTACTCTAGGTGCTTGCAGTCTGCGGAGAACGCGGACCCCCAGTTTCATCTGGAGTACCGCGGCCCCGTCACCATGAAAGGAAAGAAGGAGCCGATGAAGGTGTGGTTTCTTTCTAGGAAGACCAACGACACGGAGCCTCCGGCAGTTAAGCCGTAAACGTAAAACAAAACACTGAGTGAGAGGACTTCAGCTCTGTGAAGTATGGTGTTATTATAAACTTCAGATGAAAATGAGTGAGGGGAACATTAAAATTAATATAGGTATAGAAATATTGATATTTTTAATACATAAAAAAAAGTGTTTCAAAGTGTATTTGAACTTGTATTCTCACCCTTCCATTTTCTCCACACACCTGATACATTACAACCTCACTATAGGTTTTTAGAATTGTGCAGTGTTTATAATATAGCTTGGTACGTTCAAGTTATCTTTAATTTTTTTTTATGATGAAGTATTACACACTAATAGGTAAATGATAAGCTAAACATTTACAATTAGCCACACGATATTAGGGTGCCAAATGTTTGTGATATGCTCATGTGACTTGTGATTGCCAAAAAAATGTACGGTTTACATTCAGAACTGCTTATTTGCCTCATAGCAATAGATTATGTTTTACATTTAGTGACGATGAAAATGAATCTAGATGTGGAAGATTCTGTGTTTTTGTTGTCATCTGCTGTTTAGCAAGAAAACTGTAAGAAGACGATACAAGATAAAAGGTTATTTTTAAGTCACAAATAAAACAGTGTTGTATTATTATGTATTTCACATAAATATTTAGGTAGCATCATCAATAAACATGAATATTAGTTTTATATATTTTCTTCCCTTGCCTCATTATTCCTTAATTATTTTATGTTTGTTTCTGTAACATAATACAGCTCAACAGAATCTCTCAGTATCCTACAAATAATGTCTTAGTTTATATTTATTGTTTGTTTTATTTTACCTGGTATTTATTCTTTTAGACAAAAAAAAAGTTATTCGAGAAGTAGTGATCGTTTGTAAAATTGAAAAATAAATACATTTTACTTTGAATCTCCTGATTTACTTTCATCATTTTAATAAAGTAAAAATGTATGTGCTTTATATGTTGAATGCCTTTATTATATGTATTAGAAACATTTTGATCTATTTTTAATGATTTACTTCCAGTACATTTAAAATATTCTTACAGTTTTTTGTGCCAGACCAAATCAGTATTTTTCTATTAAAAAAACAAACAAACTGATTTGGTCTTTAAGTTCTTTGGGGCTCCAAAAAATGTCTTAGAAATTTATATTTCTTTATCGACTATTTGTAACTTCAGAACTTTACAAGAGTAAATATGAGCATAATCAAGGTAATTTAAAGCTTGGTCATTATTAGAACGAGGCAGTTTTGCTTTGTAAGACAGTCTTATACCTGCTTCTAAACATGCAATATGTTTTTAAAGTTCTCCATCTAGTGGATGATCTGAAAATCACATGATGAAAAAGATCAATATTGCTTCGTCATGAAAAACAACCTTGATGCATTAAGCTCCCCCAGTTCCAGTAAAAAGTGTCCATGGGGTGGAATTGTGATATTTCAAAACCAAATAGCCGACTTAGTGCCCAATTTCGAATTTATAGTGGTTTATCTCTAATCTCCCAAAGTCATAATTATACACACAGACTCAAATATTTACAAACACCCACACTGTTTTTCTGAATAAATGTGTCTTGGCACACCACACCCAGTTTATGCTGAATATTTGATCACTTTTCTTATAAGAAATAACATAAATAATTTTTGTTTTTCTGCACAGACCTGGCCTCAAGGCATTGCTTACCCATTTTGAAATTAAGTTCAGGGTCATTCCTAAAGCATAATTTTAGCTTGCTTGATCAACTCTAGGACCAATTATGGACTGGACTTTTAATCCTGTTGGAAAACTCAACTTTGCCCATTTTTTTTAGATATCATTGACTTGAGGTGAAAATCTAGAAATGGGGCATAATTTTCTTTCCTAATATATTCCATCCACTTTGCAAATACACTCACACCAAGACAGACCCTCACATGATGCTGCCACCACTGGACTGGTCACTTGGTACCTGACACTTATTAGGCACACATGACAATTGTCATAAAGCCATGACTTGTTATTAAATTATTAAATTACCAGAAACTGAACAGCTGATGCGTCCCAAGTAATAGAAACTTCAAGAAGAAGGTTCAACAGTCTGTTGGAACAAAATGTTGCTTTTGAACACAAAATTCTGCACCTCACCACAAAGTTACGCTTTTCACCATGAAGAATGGCGCTGGCATCATATTGACATGGCGAAAGCTTTTCACAGGAATGTAAAATAAAATTGGTGGATAATTTGATAAAACCTGTCAGAAAATTACCATAAATACGCAGCAAAGGCGACACAGACAATAAAGTGAATGTCTGGGAGTGACCAAATCTAAATCCATAACATTGTGTTAACTATATATAGTCATCCACCTTTCTGTCAGGGTTGTCTAATCAGGATATATTCTGTACTTCGCTGTTATAAAAAAAAGAGAAATTTCAAAGTTCAGGCACATCTATGTTGGTTGAGGAGGAATTAAACAATATGACCGCATGATTCTATTGAGAAAAACTAAATCCAAGGTAAAACAAAAATGTATGTTTTTTTTTGTTTTTTTTTAATAATTTTACTGTATGTTGCATTATCCCACTTTGTTATTACATAGTTTGAATGTTATTATCATATTTAAATTTTTATGGCAGGTGTTGAGGAAGCAATACAGGAAGCAAAGTGTAACAGTTTAAGGTTAATTTAATCCCACAGCTTATAAAAAAATCCCCCTAATTAAACTGTAAATGATAAGAGTCAAATCTTTTCTCCTTCCCTTCACTCCTAGGACAGTAAGACAACCTTTGACTTGTGGGGTTATTTTCAGGTGGGTTAAATAAAACGCTGGAAGAATTCTGGGTGGAAAGAAACTTTTAAATACTGCAAAATAACTCTGGTCTTCTGTCTCTAAACAAAGTAGTAATTTATCTGCCTTCACTAGCTGACATAAGGCTATAAAATCAGTGTTATTGTTCCAGCATGTTGCCAAAGATCATTATTTCGTTTAACCTTAGTTTACCTTTGAACCCTTGACATCTAAAATCTCTTGACACATCGCCCCCTCCTGGCAGGGCTTCAGTCACCAGTGATGACACACTTACAAAATAAGATAATAAATGATAGAAACATTACATCAAACGATATATATATATAATGACACACATAGATCAAACATTCATATTACCTTGTGCTGCATTTTATCAGACACATTAAATGCGTCCGATTGACATCAAGGGAATAAAATCCTGATTAGTAAAAGAAGCTAATATGCAAAGACTCATAAATCTTCATGCACTTCAAGTGATTTGTCTTTTTACCTTGAGATTACATTTTTTGTCAAAATAAGTGTCCTGGATAGAGCTAAAGTAACTACATGGCGTCTTAATTCTTTACAATTGCAGTTTGATCACATGCTAAAGAATTTGGGTCCTTCAAGGACATACGACTTTTTTATACAGCCACGTTATCATTTTTTTCTGCTCTAGCAAAAGTGATAGACAATTGATAAAAAAAACCTGATACTCAGGCACAGATAAACAGCTTGTGATATGAATGTGTTAACGATAAGCATCCACTAGACCTAATCAAGTGTGTCCCAAGCTTGACTGTTGGTTTCATCACCTCAGTCAAGGTAGAAAGGTCTTCTTTTTGATAAAAGTGCAGATATTGAGGTATTTATGTCACACTGAACAAAAACATAAGGAACTCCAATAAAAAAAGAAGACTGACAAGCTATCAGGGACAAGATAGAAATCCCTGACAAGTGAAGAACTTCAATCATCTCTTTGTGAGGTGCAAGTCTTTGTTCCTGCAACCTGTAACAGCCAGGCAAATCCAGTGTCAATGCAATTGATTAATGTATTTGGCCACTTTCTCCTCTTTTGTGTCTTTTCAATAAAAACGCTCTGTTTCACTTGATTTGGAGTCATGAAGTTGTATGTACATAATTCAGTTTTCCTGGAACAGCTACTGGAAATCACCAAGTACATTCCCCAACTTATAGTCAAACTTCCAGCAAAGTATGTGCTTTCACTGCCCTCAGTTTTTTTGGATTCATTTAGAGCAAGTCTTAGCATCAGTTTAGTCCACATATCTGTGTAGGCTCTTATGTGGTAATAGCTTTAAATATCAAAGGTCTTCCTTATCAGTAGTTGTTTGATTTAGGTCAAAGAAATTGAAGGAAGGGTATGACCAGCTAAACCAATGAACAAAGCAGTGATAGGAAGAGCTTTGGTAACTTCATTGAATTGTATTATTAAAAAAGTTAGATAGAAAAATATACATATTTGCATCATTTAGTACTGTGTTTCTCAAGTGATTGTACAAACACCAGTGGTGGAACTTGGGCAAACAAACTACTGATTATGCAAAACCAATAAATACACAAGCAAAAAAATAATTTAATCAAAACCTTGTAAAGAAAGCAGCACAGTGAGCAGAAGTCCTGGTGCAAGCGAAGTGGAATCATGTGCTGCTGATCATTTCGAGTCCAAACCACTGAATTTTTATAGTTGAGATTTTCAAACACTGTAGCAACAGGTTGTGTACTTTTGAGGTCAAGCATTTAACCAGAGGTGAATACAAGTAGTTCAGTCAGTAGTTTGAATGATTTTATTACTAAGTTTTATGTTCAAGGCAGTTGATACAGCTGGGCATATTCTGACTTTCTAACATGGGAATCCAAATTCTGAGCGGTTCATTCTTTTCATCTTGAAACGTAAGATGAAAAGAATGTAAAAATGACAATGTGTGTTTAAATCACATCTTTGAACCAATCATATTTTTTTCTTATTCTAACAAACATCAAGTCCAAGTCCTGTTGCGCTTCTGTTTTAAAATATTTTTGAGTTGGTACAAGGAAGAGGGTTTACCAAGGTGGTTGCAAAAAAGTTTAGGAACCAGCTCCATGGAGGGCCCATCCTTAAATTGTCCCTCAACAGTCAGACACAGAACAAAAATTTACAGGCACACCTTGCCGTAATTTTCCATTAATATGTGATAGTTTGCTGAACACACAATGCCACCACCCTATGTAAACACACACACAAACACACACACCCACACACACAAGTTCAGCAAGAAAGCCAAGCATTCAATAATTCATAAAGTGTTTGCTGTGGATAATGCCTTGAAAAAAACTGAGCTTTAAACGGCCACATCGTCACGCAGACCACGAGATAAGAGCGTACGCAGCTTAAAAGGAGCGCCGCACTCGCAGTGGGACGCTCCTTTCTGCACAGTGGTCCAGCTCGCCTCACGCAGTCAACATGACCTTCAACGGCACCTGGAAGGTTGATCGCAATGAAAACTACGAGAAGTTCATGGAAAAAATGGGTGAGCTTTGTCAGACTGGAGATAACTAGTGTCAGTTTGTTTAAAAACATGCTTTTTAGGTAATTAAGTGACCTTAATATTCGCAGAAATTGATGAGGTACTTTATGGAGGACTGATAAAATTCAGGTACTCATATTGAGATGGTAAACTGCTAATTACAGGTTGACTAAGCCACGTTTTGGTCGTCTAAGTTTTATTTGCAAACCGTTGATTGCGTGAACACTTTCTAGTTCCTGATTTGGCTCTTGAACTCTTACTTCCGCTCTACAAAGACACAAAGGAAGCACTTGTTTGTTAACCCACTGAGCATGTTCAATGTGTCTGACGACAGGAGTAAACATGGTGAAGAGGAAGCTGGCCTCTCATGACAACCTGAAGATCACCATCGAACAGACTGGAGACAACTTTCATGTGAAGGAGAGCAGCACTTTCCGCAACATTGAAATAAACTTCACCCTGGGAGTCAACTTTGAGTACAGCCTGGCAGATGGAACTGAACTATCGGTAAGATAAAAAAAAAAATAGAGCCGCATCGATTTCAGCTCAAACTTTTCTGCCCAGACCTCTTATATATGAGATAATTATTAAGAACCACACCTTTATGTGTCAAACCACAGGGTGCCTGGACCATGGAGGGCGACACGCTAAAGGGGGTTTTCACCAGGAAGGACAACGGAAAACAGCTGACAACAGTCAGAACCATCCAAGGAGATGAACTCGTTCAGGTGAAGAGTTTGATTGTATGCCTCCATGCCAATTCTAGCACTGCAGTGTCTGAACACTTGTAAAACAATGGAGTTGTATTTTTAAATTATATGTGGGTATGTGAGATCTAACGCAAAATGTCATATTTTTGTTTTCAACAGAGCTTCAGCTACGAAGGTGTGGACGGAAAGAGGATTTTCAAGAGGAGTTAGACCCCGACTTCTTTACTAAACAAAGTGAATTATGAAATTATGTACAGTATTGTGTTGAACTGTCACATACATCAACATCCAAAAGTGCCAGATTTGTGATGCATTTTTATACCTGCATTAATAAAATTAGAACAGCCGGTTTTCTGTTTTTTTCTCCTCTGTTTTTGCAAAAAACAAACAAACAAACAAACAAACATGCTTTTCGAGTGAGCCTTGTGTGCAGTCATAACACAGGAAGGTGACTAATATAGGAGTGGTGCGGTAATTAAAACTTTATTCAACAATAAGTAAAAATAAAGATATATTATCTCCAAAAGTAGAAAGTGTAGACAGATTTAACAGTAGCATTTTTTTTTTTTTTTTCAAATGAATCTGCAACTGGACATGTCAGAAAGCATGCAGTGGATTATCAGCAGCTTCATGGAGGAGACCACACAGAGGCGTGAAGGGAGATCCAGTGAAACTCTTGCAGGCTCTCTGATGACCAACAGGACTCAAGAGCCTGGATAAGATCGGATAAGATCTGTCACATAATGTGGAAAATTTCTTTTTTAGCCCTCGATTGTTGATGTTGATGCTAAAAAGGGTAATTAGATTATGTCTCTGTGTGTGCTTAAAACACAGGATAAAAGATATGTTTTACAGTAACACCATCTATCAATGCATGGAGAGCCTGCCCCCGCCTCGGTTCCCTCTGCAGGACTTGACTTCCCACACAAACTTAACACTTTTAGCTACATTTGTCAATGATGAGCCTATTTCAAAATTATTTTACTTCAAAGGTTTATGAGTATCACATTTTAATTGCATTTTTTTGTACATCGGAAAGAACCGGCAAGTTGAATCATTATGTATGCAGCAGAAAACGATCATTATTTTATAGTCACACCATATTGTCGCAGGAATCACGTTTCATGTGAAACTTAACTGTCAACTAGTCATTAGGAAACACTGAAACTTTGTGCTCCAGACATGACAGAGTCGTTTAGTGGGATAAATGACCTTGTCTCCACAATTTATGTATCACATCTAGCTAAAGAAATATAATAAGGTGAATTATGGCTTGATAGTCAAATCCTGCTTAGGATCTCAAGCAATCTTGGACTGGTCCAGGCTGTATGGGACTCAGAAGGAGACCGCCATGTGAAGTCTTTACCTGAAGACTACAGACCATGAGTACAAGATGCACTTTACAATTACAATAACTTGATTAAACTGTAAGAAACAAAATGCATTTATTATCCATTAGGATTTAGCACCAACCTTTGAAATGAGAGGTGGGCGCTGCAGATTTCTTCTCAGCACTTTTAGAGTTAACAGACTTTGTCAACGTTGTGATTTTGCTACTTGCAGTCATGACTGGAGCCATCCAGAATAAAAGCGCTTTCCGTACAACAAAATGTAATTTGCCTGTTGGCTTCGAACCTTTTTACATTCTGTCACATTACAGCCTGAAACTTTAGTGTATTTCATTTGGATTTTATGACGCAGACCAGTGCATAACTGTGGAGAAGACACAAAAAAACAAAAAAAAAAACTTTATCGACATAAAAGTAAAAATGTGATTTTCAACCTTAAATAAAATCCAGTACAGCTGTTCTGTGAAGGCCTCGAAGATTTGTTAGAGAGCCTTAAAGAACAAAAAAGCATCACAGGAACCAAGGAGCACGGCAGACGGGTCATTGAGAAAGTTGTGAAGAAGAATTGGTAATTACATAACATCATCCTGGGTTTTGAACATTTTGCAGATTGTGCATCATTAGGTGGAAGTTCACCTAAAACATGGGTCAGCAGCCTTTACAATGCAAGATAAGAATATTTAAAGAAGATCAAAACTTGGAGCCCTTGAGGATCCGTGGGTAGACTTAAAAATCAGTTTACAGGTTTTCTTCTTTACTCTGAACTTGAACTACCTACATGGAGAAGCGTCAATCTGTTGGAGACTTTCTTACTTGCAGCTGTAATGGCAATAAGGTGAATTTGAGCTTCTGGTTGTAATGCAACAAAATTTGCAACAGGCTAAAATAGGTAGAAATACTTTTGCAACACACCGTAGATTGAAATGTGTCTGTTCGTTTATCTGCGTTATTTCCTAAAAGTGGTTTATTTGAACACAGACAAGGAAAACAGACATATTGCACTGAAGATGTCAAGGCACAGCCAATACAACAAAAGACACAACATTCAGAATGTAAAGCAGAACAAGGAAACAAATCAAAAAAGGAAAACGTCCATGTACTCTGACAACTACCTCTTTGAACTTGTCCAATAAACAATCATTTCTTTGGAGCAGTAAATCAATTAAAAAGACAACATTATTACTACAATTGATCATTGCTGCGGTATAATAAGTAACCAATTAGTTCAAAGCCAGTCAACATTAAATTTCACTTTTTAATCTTTCAGTAGCTAGTACGTTCTATAAAGTGCAAAAGGTTGCAACCAAAGCTGTTTTCTTTGAATCAGATTCTGAACAATAAAACAATAAATCGTGAGGAGGGCAAATCAGAAAGATCTTTGCCAAAATGACTAAGTTCCCACAATGAATCCGCTATCATTTAGTATTTGATAGCATAAACATTACACACACACACACACGCACGCACACACACAGAGATTTACTGCTTCAATGAACTCATGGAACAAATAACCTGAACAAAGGTTACCAAGAACAGATAAAAGCAAATAAAGGAAAACATAAATGACACAATGTGTAGGAAAAGACCGTACACTGTGATGAGCATAAAAGATATGCATCTATAGATGTATTTATCTGGAAGTAAAACAACATAGATCTTTTTATGTTCTTGGAAATGTCGAGAATGAACACGTTACACAGATGTAAAACACCCACATGTGCTTGGGGACTCATTTGAAAATGTTGGTGAATGCATATTATCCTGGTGAGTTAGTAGTAGGTTTCCAGCAAACTGTTTTCAAATGCATAAACAACAGACTGCATTGTTGTGCGAGCAAGAAAAAACAAAACAAAACAACAACCATTCAACTTCCCAGATCAGTTATGGTTACAAACTTCTATTTAATAAATTGATTCCTTACAATTAGGTAGAATCCCTTATAATGCTAAGACGACTCAGGAGTCCAGCACTTTCATGCTCATGCTGCACATACAGCTAGAATGTTTTATAAAGGCCACATGCAGGTTTCACAACATCACTGTTTTGAACAGGAATACCAGTGTGTTGAGCTGTATAGTTAGTAACGATGTCAGATGTGTCCGGTACATTATGAAAATACCTACAAATATAGATCTGTTTGGATTTCTTTAAGGAGGAAGACAAGATAAATTACAGAGAAATGGATCAGAAGAACCAGCATGACAAAATAAAAGTTGTAGTGAATAGCCTGAGGGCTGCCCCTGCTACTGAACTCCAGGTTCTTAAGCTAATATGACTTTATGGATCACCACAAACTGAAGCCAGTCATGCAAAATTACACTTTAATGAACCAAAAGTGTTTTTCATTGTCACTTATATAAAGATAAAGACCAAACCAGAACCTTATTCGCTGGTAGATTTTTACAGCGGTGGAGGCCGTCCGCTTTGGGGCAGCCAACAGTCATTCATTAACACATAAATGTTGCAAAAGATCAGATAAATGATAACAAATCAGTAACTTACAATGAGTGACTGTTGCAGCATATGTTATCTGGTGACAGTGGAAAAAATCCCCAGTGTGCATAAAGTCAGTGAGCTGCCCAGATTCTGACAGAAAAAGAATTGCCCGCTATATTATGTTGACAGCTGTGTTGCTGAGTTAAACCAGGATTTGTTTTATAAAAAAAAAAAAAAAAAAAAAAAAAAGACAATTGGATAAAATATGTTTAATACACAGATTCGTCCCTCTTTGCAGAACATTTGTACAGATTTCAGCATCATCTGTTGATAATCTCTAACTTTAGACATCGATCATGTTAGTCTGTTGACAAATAAATGAACAGTCTTTAATTTAACTGCAATTTTATTTTAATGTGGAGACAGAATATTAGCCAAAACCTTTAAATAGATGTTATTAATGATGGGCACGTCACTTAGGTGAAATAAGTATTTGATCCAAAAAAGGATGTAAGGCAGAATTTGACATTTGACAGAAATTAATCAGTTAATCCATAACAGTTATCAATAATCCTGATGTAAATGTTTTGTGTGTATCAACGACACCTGACTGTAGAATCAAATTGCTCCATACCAACCCGTCCTTCACCAGGAACAGGACAAACAACTCTCAAAGGACATCAGGAACACAGTAAATCTGCCTAAGGCAGGAATGAGCTTCAATCATCAAGAAGCATTTAGTTGCATAGACTTAGAAATGATGATGCGACAGAGTGAAGGGTGTCTTCAGAAAGAAATCCCATCCTTTTATTCCTATGGAATCCTTGCTAGATTGCAGGGGGTGGCGGTTGTTACGGCCAGTGGCCGTGTATGTTTTCTTGTCTTTCTTTTCTGTATATCTGCAGCCTCTAATCAAGTTGACTCCACTTGGAAGTGGAAGTGGGTGCAGCGGTGCCACTCCCTGAGGCCTACAGCGATTGGCTCACCAATTGCCAGCTCCACCAATCCCTGAAGAGGCCTCCCTTTTAAAACCCCAGACTTCCTGGAGGAAGGTCTGGCTGTTTCTTTGTTCAGACAGCTTGCCACTTTGTTGGGTGTTTGGTTGACTACTGCAAACTTGCTTTGTTAGCTCTGTTAGCTCTGATAGCTTTTGTTAGCTTTGATAGCTTGTGTAACTCGTCTTGTTCCTGTGGGGGATCTTTGCATCTCTGTTAGAGATTTGAAGTTTGTTTTTGTTTAACCTGTACTGAAAGTCCATTTTTGTTCGGTTAAGATCTTTGGTTTACAACTCTGATTATTTTGTGGATTTTGTTTTATTTAGTACATTTTGTTGTAAGTCCCTACATTTTGATTGTTGTTACTTTTTTCCTTTTTATGTTTGTCAAAACCAAACAATAAACCTGTAACTGTTACAGGTTTCTTTAATGTTACTTCCCCCTCCACATGGCTGAGCTGGGTCGTAACAGCGGTCAATGTTTGTGAGACACACTGGACAGGTCACAGTCGATCATCAGAAAACACAAACAACCATGCACACACACCTAAGAGCAATGGGGGCAGGGGGAGACCAATTAACTTGCCATGCTTTTCACTGGACTTTGGGTGGAAGCCAAACTACCCAGAGAGCATGCAATGAGACGCATGCAAACTCCATGCAATCCCCCAGCCTCTTGCTGCAAGACAACAGAGCTAAAAATGGCACCGTGGTGCTGCCCACAAAACAACTCAAAACATACAGCAATGATAACAAAAGAGTGGCTAAAGAAGAATTACAGTCAGGTTGTCGAGTAAAATCTGGAGGGAGCTGAATCTTTGACTTGCCAAGAAAATGAAGAGGTTTTTTTCTTCTTTTCATGACCAAACGGGTCAAAGTTCCTTGAGATGAGTGGGGACTTTGTGACCAACTAAAAAATATGCCTTAGTGCTACAACTGCCAACAACCTTTTGTTCACCCAGTGTTTAATTCTAATTTACTGAAGGAACAATCATTTACTTCCCTTAGCAGCAAAACAACTAGTGAGTAACTATGTACTACATTATATGACATGCTGTCCTTCTACACTGGAATCAAACTACCAAATAAATTAGAGACTGTTCATTTGTTTGCAAATGAGCAAACTAACAAGATCAAAAGGGAATCAAATAGTTACACCGTTGTGTAGTTAATACCAGAGTTTTTAAACCCCTAACAAATTTAGTACTCTTCTAATTTTACCAACATATTGAATTTGAAAGAGACTCTTTAGTTAGAGATCAGGCTGATGCCAGGAAACCTTTAACCCTCCAAGACTCGGAGGTCAACAGCAGAAATAAATTGTCAAAAATACTAGTGGGAACATGAAAAATAATTTATCTGTAATAACAGACAAAATATATATATATATATATATATATATATATATATATATATATATATATATATATATTTATATTTATATTTGTATATTTTTTTTCAAATTGATATTCCTTTTGTTACTTTATTATCATTCATATTTCCTAACAAGCATCTTTATTAAAAATGTCATTAAAGCTAAATCTGCCAGGGGTATGAAAACATTTGGCCTTCGCTGTTGTTTGAGCTTCGTCCAGCCTTCAGCCCTTCAGCAGAGCTCCTCCACCAATAAAACTAAATGACATAAAGCTGCCATGACGTGTCATAAAAAAATAACTAAAAACTAAACAACGCTTTGTGCAAACTGAAAACAGATTTCATTTTCTTAACACCACGGGACAGTGGAAGATATACATGATAGTTGATAATCTGTCAAACAACACACTACGGCATTTAGAAGTAGGTTGTATTTATGTGACAAGCTTGCATAAATAAATTCCACCCAGTCTGGAGGTGTCGGGGGGCATCTGAACATTTTTTTCCATTCTGTAAACTCTTTGGCATCCAGTCGCACTGTCCGTCCATGTAAACAAAACTTACCAAGTCAACACTCATAAAAAACCTCGCTCATCCAGTCCTTTGGCTGTCACTGGCTTCCATTTTGCAGTGGGTTTATTGCTATTATGGCCTGTGCAGAAAGAAAGACGAGATCTCTGTTGTTAAAAATGTACTTTATGAAAGTTCTCTGGGCATATGCTGATCAGAATAACAGAAAACTATCTTATGCAGCTATTTCGCTCTGTTTGAATAGGTTTTTTTTCTAAGTCTTACTTGTTTCAGGTCGGGCTTTTGGCACGTCATGTGAGTGTGCGTCACTGGGGAGTGTGTGGCTGTTATCTCTGCGCTCACTCTCAGCGGCTGTCCTTGGCACTGTGGCAGAGAGGACCAGAGGCCTCTGGTTGTGGTACTTGAGTCGGTACGTTTCCGTCATGCAGTTGTCCACGTTAAAGTACGTCGTCAGGGAAACCTCTGGAGCTTGTGCCGCCTCATCCGCTCTGCTCCCCGTCAGCCTCTCCTCGCTCTCGCACGACGACTGAGTGCTCCTCTCTGGGTCCGAGCCCGACTTCGAGCTCGCGTCCGAAAAGGTTCGGAGGCCCGAAATGTCGGGCCTCCTTTTGGGGCTGACGTAGGACGAGGGAGAGAGGCGAGGGCTCGATGGGAAGGGTTCCTGAAGCATTCGGGGGCGAAACACAGCGTGGCTCGCTTCGCCGTGGAGCGAAGAAGCCTGCAGGTTGGGTTGGAGGTGAGGCGACACAGTGGCAGCGAGCTGAGTTTCTGCTGTCGCGCTGCTAGTCGGGTGGTATGGCAGGTCAATGTGAGGGCACGGGGAGTCAGAGGTGACAGCCTCACTGTTACTGGACAAATAAGTGCTTTCTCTGTCCTCGGATTCTGAGAGAACGAGATCGTCTGAGCTGTTCCACTCAGAGCTGCTGGTCTTTGTGATGTGTCTCGGGGTTGTGTTCTCCCCGCTCTGCCCTCGGTAGGCACTCGGCTCCTGGTGTTCACTCTGCCGGCTCTCTGAACCAGTCGAGCTCTTCTCTGAACCCTTCGCTTTCCTAGAGGTGTTAGATGTGTGTTTTGATCTCTGTCTACAAGAAAGAAAAAGCAGGTAAATACATTTTAATACAGACATGTAAATGTGTCTGTAATGCACCAGTAAATGTATATTTCTTCATCTTAAAACTAAACACACACACACACACACACACACACACACACACATATATGTATGTATTTTTGCGAGATTTTACATAACAGGCCATCACAAAGCCCTTCAATGCTGTGAAGTAAAAGAGAAATTAGCAAAAGTTTTGACCAAATAAAAATCTAAAATGCAATATACTATAATTACCAACACATTTTTTTTTTAAATGAAAACCTATCATTTTAAGAACACTACCTTGAATTTGGACTGCACTTTAGTTGAGAAAGTAAAACTTGATCGTGGTTCCCCTGAGGTTTAGTTGGATGTTTACCTAGAAAAAAAAGGGAGAAAAAAGGAAAAAAGAAAGGAATGAAAATGTACAAGAAAAAAACATATTTGTGATTAAAATCCTCTTTCAGAGGGGTTTGTTTCATCAAAGGTACATTCTGTTCCTGTTCACAAGGACATGAATGAAAATGAGGATTAGTCACTGGGACGAATCTAATTTTCCTTTGAATTTTTCTCTGAATATGCAGAATTCTGAGAATAAACTCAGAGCTCCCATAAGATATAAGTGTGACCTTTGGTCTAAAATATCAAAAATATTGCAGTTTAAACATTTGAGCCTGATCCGCTTACGTAACTGTAAGATAGGCGCGCACAAAGTAAATGCTGTATTCTTTATGTCCACTAGGTGGCAGCAAGCCATCCTAAGACACAATGTTCTGACCTGTCAACAGCAAGAGACACCCTGATGCTGATTTACTGCCTTTTGAAAGCACATTTTCTTAAACATATATATTTTTTTCAACTTAACCCGTTAGAGGTTGATTCAAACACTGGGCATTGCTTTTGCAAGTGGCCATAACCTCTTAACGCATAAAGTCTTGATTCATTTAGATAAAGCAGGACAGTACGTGCAACATAATGCTATTTATGACAATGTCAGCGACCGTGTCCAGCTGCGCCATCTGAGCTTTTGTGGGATTATCATCAGATTAATGCCAGTGCCGGGCAGACAGGGGCCGGAGGTTAAATAACAAGTTCAGGCACAGAAATCAACCCAGATGTTCGGCGATCTTCTGTTACACAAACAGTCAGGACTGAGTGCAGATCACACTAAAACTTACAAGTCTTAAAGAAACAGGAGCAATAATGAGGCTGTCTAAACATCACAGAAAGCAAATCCTGCCTGTACATACCAGACTAAATGAACGAACGTGTTTGTTTCTTTGCTTTAAATCTTTTCCGCGAGTTTCCGCGGATGAGAAAAGGAACTCACCTTTTCCTGCCAAACATTTGCTGCTCTGCTCTGCTTTAAATCAGGAGGTCTGTTTTACATCTTAAGTTGGTGGCATATTTTATTAGTTGGTTTCCTTTTTCAGCAATTTACTTTTGGCTCAAATTGATGTCTCTTAAATCTGACTAGATACCAGAGGAAAAGCTGTTTGGCTTCTGTGAACGGACCGAAAAAAAAAAGAACGAAAACCTGCCTTAGAAAAAAAAAAAGAAAAAAGAATTAAACAAGCAAATGAAAGGGTAATAAATAGATCCAATGAAGGATGTTTACAGAATAAAACATGCAGGACAAACTTCTTTAAATAGTTTGGAAAAGTTACTTAAGACAATAATTTTGCTCTTTAATAATACCAACTAGTGTTGGAAATGTGCTGCTGCAAAACCTGATGAGTCACTTGTACTATGAGGAACTTTGAGGTGCAATCAGGTAGGCTGACACGCAGCACCCAACAGTCATCAGAGGGGTAGAAAATGGAAGGAGGTCATGGCAAAGTGATCAGTAGGATTTGACGAGGAACTGATCCAGATACATTTGTTGTGGTTTTCCGTACTGCGTTTATAATCAGCTGGGGCTCTAACTCAGCTCCAAACCCTTTTGAAGCAAAATAAACCTTCGGGCTTACCGTTGTGGGAAAGAGATGATGTCATACTTGACTTTGCATCGGCTTCCCTTTGATGCAGCTGACTGAAAAATAAGACGACATAAGAAAACTGAGAGTTGTCAACAATTATTCAGCACCGTTCTTTCATCACTGTGTGTGTGTGTGTGTGTGTGTGTGTGTGTGTGTGTGTGAATACAGTTTTATATTATATTAGGATAGGTGTTAACGTGCTTGGGTCATTACTGAAACAACAGTCTGCATGGTTTTTTTCTCCAGAGGATGGAGATTCTAACTTTATCTCTAAATATAAACATTGTATTTGTTGCAAAACAACATCATTTTGTTCCTACATCATATCCTTGTTCTTTGAGTAGTGTCTGAGAGCTATTGTGTAATTTGTCAAAAAAATTTGAAGTGGTTCATGTAGCAACAAATGCTGCAGTGTGAGGGACCAGGGAGAACCTCCCAGGAGTCCTGCACTCGAGTTCTTGTTAAACATGAAATGTACTGGCCCGAAACAACTTTCTTCTTGTTCTCACCACCTCATAGCCTTGAAAGCATTTCTTTCCTTTCTTGTTGAGTGAGTATATGTCTTATTACTGTAGTTTTTTTGTTTTTTTTTTACTACGTTCAGTATTGCTTTCGAACACTGAAGGCAAATCAATGTTTCAGTGAAACTAAATCCACTGCAGAATGGCACTTTTCTCTCCTACCTTTGTAAAAGGATCTCAGGTGTTAACCTCTGATCTGGTCTGAGCCCAAACCCATCGACCCCAGGTGAGTCGGGATTGGTGGAGCCGCTGCTGAGTCGATCGCTGCTCTCGTAGCCCGACTCCGTCCTCTGAATGGTCCAGGTGTCGCTGCGCAGCAGAGTCTTGGGAACGGCCTTGAGTCGGCTTCCTCTCTGCTGGCCGGCTCTGCTCTCTGACTCCACGGAGCTGTGGCTCTCCGTCTCGTGCCGCTGCTCGTCCTCATAAATTGTCATTAAGCACTTCTGTTTGCGCTCCTCTCTAGTTCTTGCGTGTTCGCGCTCCCTGCTTGGTTCTGTGCGCGCTCTCTCCTGGGAAGAAGGCTTGCTGCACCGCGGGCTGTCCTGCTGCTGCTGCTGCTGCTGCCGTCGCTGCTCCAGTTCATTCAGCACCGTGTCTACATTCAGCACCTCCCTGATGGGTCTCCAAGTTGATTTTGACCTATTTTGGCTCCCGCTGCCTCCTTTTTCCCAGTGTTTGTGGCTGCCCACCTGCTCATTGCGTCCTGGGGAAACGTTGGCCTTTCTGACGTGTCCCCCACTCTGTGCACTGCCCGACTGTCCGTGGGGCTCCTGAGATCCTCTGCTTTGATTCGATGACTTCTCAGAGCGCAGAGAGTTCTTTATTTTCTCTACAGGAGGCCGGGGCCCATTCTCTGGGGGGGATGAAGATCTTGTGTGTGTCATGTCTGAGGAGGGTTGACAAAGGTCATTAATAGCCCGACCGTTGCTCTGATATTCAGACTGTCCGATGCTCATTGCCTGTTTAAATGTTGCCGTCCACTGAGCCTACCTTTGTGTGCTGAAGGCTCGATTCTCCGATGTCCCCTGTCCTTTTTTGATGTTTCAACTGGTCTTTGTAGATTCTCCATGAAGGGATCCTGAAATTTGTTAGGGCTGCCAAAAGGATGTTTCACTGAAGAATACAAAAAATAAAAACATAAATTTAAGTCCTACAAACAATATATTGCATTTAAAGTAAATCTGCACATTAGAAAATCCTGCAATGACGATAATTTTGGTAAATATTGACACAATGACATCAGTTGTGAAATATGAATTTCTTCTTCCGTCTTTCCTCATCCGTGCTTCTGACACTCTGTGACCTTTGCAAAATGTTAATTGTGTCCAGTGTGAGCATCTGATGTTGCTCCATTTTACATTCGCATGTAAAATGCAAGTTCATTACATGTGGAATATATTAGCCAATGATTATGACAATATCGGTTTGTTAATACTGCACACACTGATAATGTGACGGCAATACATTTGCGATTTATATAGTCCAGCCCTAAATTTCTTTTTCATTTATTTTACTAATAAATCTTTTTACTTCCGAGACACTGTGTTAACTGGCTGCCAAGAAAAGCACAGGCTGTTTTAATTTAACTGGATTTGAGCCACAGTTTTATTTTGACTTAAGTATTTTCCACAATTAATCACTATCAGATTTCCTGCATGGTGTAAATAAACACTCACAAAAATATTGGGGACAGAGCAAAGAAAGGAGAAAGGTTTACAAACTATGCAATCAGAAATATTATTTGAGTTGCAATTAAGTTGTCAAAAACAGAAACTGGTATGCCACCATGATAAATATTTTCACTTGAAACTTGAGTATCAATCAAGCTAGAAGTCCGATAAAGTATAAATGTCATGCGTGGGTTGTTTATGGTTGGACTCACGATTGTCGAATAAAAAGGCCAATGCACTATTTTTTTTTTCTATTTGTCACTCTAGTGCTGGATTTGAACCTCAGTAGCAGCAATTTTCAGCCTCACACTTTCTTCTGGTATTGCTCTGTGAGCGCTGGATGTTCTCAACCAATATAACATTTCAACTACTTCTTTTTCCACAACCTTCAATCTGCAGTGTTTGGTCTTCCTGATGATGAACCTCTGAGGTTCACAGAACACAAATGTTTTTTACTGAAAATAATTAAAAACAATTTGACTGGTTTTATTAAACACTTGGTTACACAGTAGTGCTCTGTCACTAAAACTCAGTGAGGATTATCTTTATATTATGTTTGTGTTCAGTTTTATTTCTTTTCCTTCTTATGGTTTTTGAATTATTATGTCACAGCATTTACTACTAAAGTACTAATCAAGGTCATGGACTTCTGGCTAAAGTAATCTACCGAATTAGTCATTTTTTACTTCTCACAGCAAATCTGCAGTCCAACTTCCTGAATGCCAAAGCTACAACTAGACGAGTTAAAATGTTCAGTTGTTGGGTGCAATAACTCACACAATTTATTACACCATCCCCAAAAACCAGAACACATTTGAAGTGCCAAATTAAAATATATTTTCCTTAGAAATGTAGCCACATCAGTGGGGAAAAACCTCTGTTTGCACAAAAAACTCCAAGGACAAGTGCTTCAGCGCCAGAATCAGGAAGGATTTGCCAAAAGACTTCATCTGATGGAGTCAGTTCTTTCTGCCCAAGGAAATGACAGACACGGCAAAGCGGTAACCTCAAATAGAGCTAAAATGACAAGCCTTATTCTAGACATGAATCTACTGTGTGCTGATATGACATCCTGGACGTTGTTTTGACAGCAGCAGCATCGTGACTTCTGGTTAAGTTAGCGTTAGTGTGTTAGCATTTAGCTCATGAAGGACAGAACCGCGTCGACAGTTTAAATTGTTTTTTTTTGTGCCATTTTTACCTTCTGTTGTTGACATCTTTTAATCAATTTGGGAATTAGAAGCTCCTCCCCCTTGATGTTTCAAACATTTGGGTAGTTTGACACATCTGCTATCGAACTACAAAAATGGCTGAACAGGACGGAGCGGAACGCTCTGCAGGATGTGAAAGGGCTCATTTGAATTTAAAGCGACAGCAACAAAACTGAGTTGCACTTCAGAACAGGGGTGAAAAGAAGGCATGTGGAGCAACAACAACAAGAAATTCAGACTTAAACTTGTAAAGGAAGGATTTGAAAGCATGATCCACTTTTAGGTTCACATACTTTTGCCGGTCAGATGTAATATGTTGACGTTTGTCTTTAATAAACTGATTCATCACAGTTTATAAAAGAAAAAACTTTAGCCGGTGTCAAAAGTGGTGATTGTTGTCTTGTTAAAAAAAAAAAACATATAAAACCCAACAAAATAAGGAACATTATTATGTAGTTTCAACATAAATTTTAAACTCAATTAGTTTCATGACAGTAAAGTCTTACGAAAGTGTGCCACTCCTGTGAGAGAATTTGTCAGTCGTGACAAATATAGAAGTAGCTCAAACAGATTTTCAGTTTTATAGATCACACATCCCATCTCCCATCCCTTCCGTCCGTCTGCAAATAGGAAACAAAACAGTCTTAGAAAAGAACAGATGCTGCATCATTAACTTTGATATAACACACCTCCGCTGCCTCGGCTGCCAAGCCCGCGGTGTGTTTCCTCCGCCTGGCAAGCAGGTCACGAAGGGAAGCAGCGACAACATGAACTGCGAGCATCTGCCTTCAGATGAGCGTGTTACATCTAACAGCTGCTGTCTTTCACTTTCACATCTCACCTCCTCCTAATTAAATCATTTTCTCTGACGCCGTTTACAGCTGCATCTATTTTTACTCAGCCAATATTGCAACTTTCAAAAGACCCTTGATCAGAGTCAAAAAAAAAAAAAAAAAAAATTACACGATGAAAATTTGAAAACAGATGAGCGAAATTGTACCTAAAGCTTCTGTCAAAGATGTAATAGGGAAAACTACGTGTGTTACTGTTACATGCTAACACTGATGGAAATTCCCATCTGATTATGTAGCCTGGTGCCGATATTTAGGAAGTTCCCTAGAAAAGTCATTTTGGACTCAGATCTAGTTTTGTATGCCTAACAACTGCCAAGTAATTAACTAATGCATATGTGCATCATGGTTCCTTACTTACTGCAGAGCCCTAATTATGTAAGAACTCCAGTATGAGCCAGTCAGACCAATTCATTTGTAATAATGGACAAAAGAGCAAATTAAAGAAACAAAGCAATGTAAACTTTAGCAGAATTCGATCAATTTAAGAAAAGAATTGTGATTAACAGCATACAGAGAGCCAGACAATGTTTTTATTTCCTGTGAAAAACCCACAATCAGTTACTGACTCACCCTGACTGTCACCAAAGTAAGAATCCTTCCCCATGCCAAAATATCCGGGCAACACATAAAAGCGAAGCAATCCAAGCGAGAACACCCCCCACCACCTCCTAAAAAAAAATAAGCAAGCTGATAAATAATGGAGGCAAATGTTTGAAACATCAAGGGGAGGAGTAAGAGCAACGATGCGTTTGGCCACAGGAACGGGGATTAGGGGCTAGGCGTGGGTGGTAATCTGCGTGCAACAGAGACATCATCCTCATGCGAGGTCTGGGCCATCAGATATGGATAGAAAGTCTTTCTCTGGGAGCTTTATGCCACAATCCCAACCATTACTGTGGCAGAATCACTTCTGTATTTGATGCAGAGTCAGTTCAAAGGAATATTTCCTCAGTGGCACTTCAATGTCTGGTTTGGTGTCAGTCTTTAAAAAAAAACAAAAAAAAACAAAGAGAAATTTACCTCTAGCAACTCCTTGTTCTCATTAATGATGTCTGGAAAGATCAGTGTACAGAAAGACACTCTGCACACAGAGTGCTTCATGTCATCAATTTTAGTGGTAGTTTATGTGTCAACATTGGATGGTGAAAGATTAGAATATGTTGAAAAGCAGCCAAAGCAGGGAGATCACAAGATTGTCCATGAGGGATGTTCTAGGCAACGCAGTTCTATGCTCTTGCACAGTAAACCTTTCATGGTCACTGATTTTAATGACTGCAGTAACAGTAGTATATCATTATCATAGTAAGTTGGATTACTATTAAAACTTGTCATTGGGCGTTAAAATTTTTTGTTTCTTTTTTCATTAAATGCATCGTCTCTGATGTGTCATGACAGACATGAGCAGAAGGCAGTGAAAGTAAGACAGGAATATTTAAACCGTCAAAGATCACCAAGGGCAACATGTACCTTAACTCTGAATTATACAGCTGCACAATACATGCACAGAGGACGTGTGTATCCCATCTCAAGCTCCTACTGCCTGCTATTAGAAATAAGTAAATGTTTAGTTGGATATTTGTCCTCTTTCGAACATTAGCTAATTTCAGTAAGCCAGTGAATACATAATAAATAGAAATTATCATATAAAATAATACTAGACTAATTTAATCCATTTGCATTCATGATTTAAGTTACAGCAGATCCTTTCTTTTTGTTATGCTGCTTTTTAACTATTGTAATATTAAGAAACAATGGTAATTAGAATGTCATATCAAGTTGATGTGGTTTTGGGATGATGGTTGAATTTACTCTAAAACTGATGAGTGGCTTTAAATTGTCATAAATCCTTCTAAAACTGAAGATACCAAAAATCAAGAATGTGACTCTTTTTTTTAATTTTTGAGTTTCTATTGACTTCACTGGATTAAAAGCTATCAAAATGTGCAAATATACACAAAAAGTCTCAGGTCAAATCAGTGATGGTAAATACATATATACCATTCAGCTATAGAAAGAACAAAAAGTATATGTTTTAAGTGTCTTTGTCAGTCATGCTAGCAAATGGAAGACTTTCTTACTGGTCAGATCTCCATTTACTTGGGCTTTGTAATGAGGACACATAGTGGTTTGTCGTGGTGCATCTTCATTAGAAACTGGACTCCCCTCAGGATTGGTGTAAAATAAAAGAAGAGGTTGGAAATGCCCCCTGATACATTTTGAAGCAACATCCTTCCATTTGGATCCAATCTAGTAAACAAGAAAAAAAAAACTTAGAAAAGAGAATGTATGTAATGGATTGTCATAAAAAAAGATTGAAAAGGCTTAAGGGCAGACATGCTAACCTCCTTTACAGTGGCATCGTCAAAAAACATCCATTTTGAAGATTTGGTGTGATAGGCGAAAGCTGAGTAATGTTTGCTGGAGAAACAGATCATCCCCACCAGATGTAGCTCGCTGCGTTTGGCGTTTTCATCAGTCACTCGGTTGAAAAGCTGAAAGACGGTACATTTGATCACTCCCAGCCAGACGTTAAATCCACTGAGGTTCAAGTTTCTGTTTGTTTGTATGCAAAATGACAGATATTGATCTCTCATCCGAAAAACTGTTACATTCCAACATACTAGGATCAACGATGTTTTGCTGTTTTGTGAAACTAACATTCATATCTTGAACTCAAACTTGTTATATTTCGTTTACAAGCACTGAATCGTGGGAGGTGGCTTTTTCAGCTCTTACCCCGCACAAGTTTAAACGTGGACCAAGAGACCTGATAACATCGTCCGTGAGATCAGACTGCTCTGCGTCCCACACAAATCCAATAGTGACGATCTCCGGACAGTTCATGAGGACACGACGGATTTTGATGCTCTGACCACAGTCACTCTGCAAAACATTGGACAACAAATGTTTTGTTATCCACAGTAACATTAATGTATCGACAGGGGAGAAAAAAAATCAGCTCATAAACACTGGATTCACAAATAAGAAGTGAATTTTTTTTTTTTTTCAAATAATGCTGAAAGCATACATTTACATACACAGTTTGAAAAGAGTTGAAAACAGCTAGCTTTTGTTTTTTTGTGTCAGCTTTAGTGCTTTGATATTGCTAGTCAGGTGAAATGATTGGTGTCTGTCTGACTACTTGTTAGCATTACTGTACAACAAGCACATATAAAACAACCTTTTTACTTCTGGAACTATTGCAGATGACATCGCAGGATCTCACTTTAAAACATATGAACTAACCCTATAAAACACTCAAACAACTGCTTTGTCATCGGGATGTCCACTTTGATTAAGTAGTAGTCAAAAACAAAAACACAGCAGTCTATTTACTGTGAGTTTCTAAGCTGCATGCATACTTGAATCATCAAACAATCGATCCACTGATGACAACAGCAGCAGTGTCGCTATTTCCTGCAGGCCAGTTCTAAGTTATGCTGCGCTGTCCAGCCTCCACCTCCAAGCAAGCACACCGTATTCCATGCATTGTCACTCCGACAGCTCAGGACGTTGGCTTCCCCCTCAGTTGGTCATGCAGTTTCTAATCACAAGTTGTCTGATTCCTTAGAAGATATTTAAAGGTAATCTCCCAGGTGAAACCCACAAATAAAAAACTGAAGGACATTATTGAAACAGTATGTAATTTATAGATTTACAACTTAATGTCTGCTCCATTGACGTGAAATCAAATACATATTGGAAAACTGTATTTCTGCCTTTTCTATCTCGGCGGATAGAAAAGGCAGAAAAGAATAGGCAAACTCATTTCATTAGAAGCGGACTGCACCTGAAGAAGATTCAGGAAGATTCGTGGGAACAGAGCAGTAAGCTTCACTAAGCTAATACGAGCTGAAAGGGAAGCAAAGGGAGGAAATTCAGATGAGAGAAAAACAAGGATAAGCCTTAACACTATTTCTACCCTTACTCTAGTTTTGCACTGTCTCCTTTCAGTCCTTGAGTTGCACTAAGGTGGAAAACACTGACAGTACTCTGCACCACTGGAAGAATCATCTCTGAGTTTCCCTTATGTTGCCACGAAACTGTGAAACGGATAATCTAACTATTAATATTTAGCTTTCATTAATGTTTTAATTCAGTTGGATGTCTGACGCAACATCTAAAAATACAAACATACGGAGCGGCCTCACATTAAAGCATGCAGTCATATTCAATAAGTTAGAATCTCTGGTCTGAGGAGACTAATTAGTCAGATTAAAAGTACGTGTTCGAAATAACCTTTCACCAAGTCTTTAACATACTTTTCATTAAGCCCAGATTTCTCCATAAGATGTTTTTTTTTTTTTTTGTTGGTCTGATGTAACATTCTAATTTTAAATGCAGTGTCTTCATTAGCTCTAAGCAAAATAGAAGGAAGAAATTAATGTGTTTCGTTTAGTGAATCAAGTTACTGAAATAAATAATTTTTTTAATAAGATCATAAATTATTGAAGAGGTCTGTATAATATGAGCTTGACGAAAAAAATGTCTAATACCTGCTCAAGGATTGTTATCTTCAAAAATGCTTTTCATCAGACAAACCAGCCTCGTCTGAACATATTCTAATTTAATAAATATGACTGTAAACATGTTTTCCCAAAAAGTCAAAAAAAAAAAAAAAGAAAAAAAAAGAAAAGAAAAGAGCATAACATACAGGGCAGCTTCGGAGGTCACCAGTGCTGTTTGCCGCCTGCAGCAGTTCCCCAAACATGTCTGACCTGAGACGCTCGTTCTTCCCCAGTGTCCGGTCAACCTGTTGACTGAGCACAGAGACGCACAGTATGTCTATAGATTATAGTCTGTTTGCAGTTAATTCTATATTCTATATTTCTATTTTTTTTATTTATAGATAGGCTGTAAAAACTGTTGGAAAAGGTTAAATAAACTCACATTCTATAAATAAACACGGTAAAAAGAGACATTTAGTATGAAAAAACTATAGTTTTCTTAAACTACAAAATGTCATTTTCCTAACTGAGAAATTGTGTTTCTTTACACTCTCCATCGGGGTGTGCATTTTTCTGATTTTATTTGCAATAACAGTGCTCTCAGTAGGCATAAGCAGGGTTTCATGAATCAAGTTATGTCTATTTTTGTAAAAATGTAATGGCTTGAAAATTACAGTAGTTTTATTTTATACTGTTACGACAGCTGAAAATAATTTTGGTGGGATAAAAAAAGAAAATGTCGTAGTAGCCGGAGTTTAAAATATAAAGTAACACAGTGCTGCTGAGCACTGCTGGTTAGTTGGCTGTAATAAGGAGCCTGCCGTTTTCCCCTTTTAAACATGGAAGTAATGTAGTAATAATATACATATTAACGAATCTCTTAATCAACCTTTCTTTGCTTTCTAATGGTTAAAACATGAAAATGTTTGAATATATGTTACTGTACTCACCATAAAGCCGTGGTCGATACATAATGAACAAACTCTGTGAACGGGTGTGGATCTGAAGATGCACCACAACAACGGCACACAAACTGTGAAACACAGCATGTCGCTATATTAAATTACATAAAAGATTTAGAGACTAATTTTACATTTAGTCACAATATCCGTATTTTCTACACAGCATTTGGTTCACTCAAAGCAGAATTCAGTACAATACAGGAGTTCATGTTGTTACTGACTTTACTTACCTGTTCGTAAAGCATCATAGCGAATTTCTGATGGGTGATGCAGGATTTGGATGAGCACGCGTCGGTTGGTGTGTCTGAAACTGTGTGCAAGTGAATTCGCTCCAGGATGTTCTCCTGTTTGTGCGAAACAGGAGCAGATTAAAAAGATACCAGTCAAATTTCTGCAAACACAAATCCAATACACAAGGTAAAAAATAAAACTAAATTATTTTTGTGTCCTACGCCCAACGTTTAGATATAAAGTGAAATACCAAAGAGAATTTTAGTATTTTATGAAACACAAATAGGGAGAAAGGTCCTTGAAATATTATTTTGAACAAAAGCCAAAGTGGCACCATACAAAGCACTCGGCAGCGTCGTCCATCAGCCCAAGTTGGAAGCGCTGCTCGTTCTTAAAGGTTTCAGCGAGGGCGTTTCGCAGGCTGTCGGAGGGCAGGACTCGCTCTCTGCTCTGCTGGAACTGGTTGAATATACTCTGGAAGAGTTTTTTTTTTTTTTTGTGAGAAATATTTATGCATCTGAGATAAATAAAACAATAATATATGTAAAAACCCTTAGCTAACTCAAAGTTTTTCTATCTCGATTTTTTAAGTAACCTTACCTTTAATGCACAGAAAATACAGGCATCACCGAGACAAAAGTGGCCAGAAAGCTGCCTCAAGCTCCTCCTGAAGATGTCCAGCTGCCAAAGCACCTGTGGAGGTTCAAAATTAGATCGATGACGGGAAATAAAAAATATTTCATTCAAAAACCTGAAAGCACTGCTACAATACAGATTAGTCACACAATTTTCTGACTGGAAGTCGGGTTTGTTAATTGACTATTTCAAGAAATTGCAAGGGAATTGTTTGGAATAGTCCTGACCACAACTCCACTGCACATTTGCAGGCTCTAACTGACCAACACAATCACATTGACGGATAAAGGAATATGATGCCATCGGTGTTTTTCCTTTCCGCTTGGTTTGTAATTTTTATATATATATATATATATATATNTATATATATATATATATATATATATATATATATATATTTTTTTTTTTTCAGTTTTTTAAAAAATATATAAAAAA